AAGCCAGCGACAGAGAAGCACAAGAGATCAGACTGGCCTGTCCACCCTTCCACCCTTCCTTGTCCTCTCCCACTTCCATGGGGCCTTGGGTGACCTCAGAGCCTTGGTTTCCTTGGCTGGGGAACAGGACGATGCCCATCTCACAGGGAAGGCGGGAGGCTAGAGATGAGAGGTGTCAAGGGTCGGCTCAGTGCCCAGCCCTGAGAGGGCGGTTTAGCCTTCCTGCCTGTCCACCTAAAAACTGCCCTGATCCTTGTCCACCAGGAGAGCTGAGGCCTATGGTAGGCTCCAAGCCAGCCTGCCTGGACCTCCTCCTGGCCCTACTGCCTTTTCCCTGGGGCCCTGGGCTGTGGCTTGGCCCCTGTGACCCAGTGGCTCCTCTTCTGTACCTGAGGTGACCACAGCCCTGTCCTATACTAGGTGAGTCCGCACACAGGGGTGCTCAGTACAGGGCTCCCACGGGTCCCCATGATCAGGGACAGGTGGGGTGAGGGCTCCCCAGCCATGAGGCTGTGCCCAGAGGGTCCCAAGGGAGCACCCAGAGGAACCAGGGCCACCGGGTGCCTCTGTCACCTCCAGGAAACCAGGACTGCTGTCAGGTGTTTTCTGCTTGGTAAACATTTTGATGTTTCATTCATGAAACTTGCCTTTCCTGAGGCCTCCTGCAGTACAGAGGTGAGTGAAGAATTTAATGAGAGCTGGGCCTGTGATCCCTCAACAGCTCCAAGCATGTGGTTCCCAGGAGGTCGTGTCTGCCCTCGGAGGAGGAGTCCCCATCCCTATCCCATAGGTCACGGAGCGGGAGGGACGTACTGCACAGGGAGGTGAAGTAGAGTCACTTCAGTATATACAAACACACACAGCCAATGGATGGGAATAACAGTTCAGGCTTAGTCTTGCTCTGTCGCCCAGGCTGGAGTGCAATGGTGCAAATCTCAGCTCACTGCAGCCTCTGCCTCCCAGGTTCAAGCAATTCTCCTGCCTTAGCCTCCTGAGTAGCTAGGACTACAGGCACACGCCACCATACGCAGCCAATTTTTAGTAGAGAAAATCAGAGGACAATATGGGGTTCCACCATATTGGCCAGGCTGGTCTCAAACTCCTAACCCCAGATGACCCACCTGCCTTGGCCTCCCAAAGTGCTAGGATTACAGGTGTGAGCCACAGCACCCAGAGTCAGTTCAGGCTTTTCAAAGCACATAGTAGGTGCACAACAAAGAGAAAGGAAGGGGGGGTAGGAGGGAGGGAGGGAGGGAGATTCCACTCACAGATATGTCTTGGTTTCCAGAATGACCCTGTGGATTGAGGGGGTGGCTCCTGTTATCTCTACTTTCTAGATGTGGAAGCAAAGGCTCAGAGAGAGTAAGAAACCTTCCCAAGAACACACAGCATCAACACGTACTCCTGACTCCTGGGGAGCACTGACTCTGCCTCTCCTTTGACAAACAGGGGAGCTCATACTCAGGGAAGGGAAGTGATGAGCCTAAAGGCATGAGCCAGTGTGACGCCCGGGTTGTCAGAACGTGCACCCAGGACTTCTATGACCCAGGACAGGCTCAGCTCCTGTACCCAAGCTGCCTCCTTCCTCTAGGTCACCCTGTACCCCCTTCCTCCTCCTCCTCCCACCCCAAAGCCTGCAACAGCCCCCGTCCCCCCCCCCCAACACCCTGTCCACAGTCTTGGGAGACCAAATGTCTGGAGCTTGCCAGGCAAATGAAGATATGCTGTCCCTTCAGCCCTTTACAGCCCCCAGTGAGATGTTCTCCTTCTGCATCCTGTCCCCACCAAAGGCCAGGGGAACAAGGATCCTCACCAGATGTTCCACATTGTCCCAGAAGTGGGCCACACAACCCTCTGACGCCAGGACTCCAGATTGCCAAGTGCAGTACTGAAATACTTCTTAGCACACTGACATTAGACCTCACTGCCAGGCCTCTGCTTACCTGTCTCCTGTGACGGGGAGCTCACTCCCCGCAAGTCACCCATCATATTGAGAGGTCAATATGAATCATATTGAAAGAGGTCAATCATATTGAAAGGCCCTGTTCAAAAGCCTTTCCTTAGCCTTCAGCTGAAATCTGCCCCTGTGGCATTGATTCTGTCCTAAATGCAATTCCTGGGACTACACAGGATCACGTTTTCCTTTCTCCCTTTGACCTAAAGCAGCTGTTTAAATATTTGAAGGAATTATGCTTGTCACTCATTCATTGTCCACCTCATTGTTTACTTGGAGGCAATATCATAGCTTTTTTCATTCCTCAATCCACCCATCCATCCATTCATTCATTCATTCCTGTGACTGGGTGCCAGGCCCTGGGCTGCCTTCTACAGCCATGAACAAGCCACAATCTCCACCTGCAAAATGCCCCCAGCAGAGTGGGGGAGACCACGAATAAACCCACAATTACACAAAATGTTTAAGTGCTATGATAGAGGTGCATATAGCTGGGGGAGCCCAGAGAAGGCCCTGGGAGTAGGGAGGCGTGAAGGGCAGAGACAGCAAGGGATGTCTTAGGGTCTGAACTTGGAGAGAGACTCCGCCACATCCTGGGAACTGAAATCGGGAGGGAGCAGGCTGGAGCTGGGCAGGGACGGGGTGGAGGGGTGGGAGAAATCAGACTACGCAGGGCCGCGGAGGCATGCTTCCCACATGGCCCTGCAGCCCTATACCCCACCTGGATTGCCTCTGCATTCTGGACAGCCCAGGAGGCCAGGGCCCCGCATAACCTTGGTGTTCAGAGGTAGAAGCGAGACCCAAGGGACCTCAGAACCAGGAGCAAAGTAGATAAAAGGCTGCAAGAGACTCAGGAGTCCAGGCCAGGACTGGGGCCGGGCCAAGGCAGGAGGACAAAAGGCCCCTGTCCTGTGCCGTGAGGAATAAATGTATTTCAAGCCCTGCAGGAGTGCCAGGCCCTGTGCCACGTTCCCCATGTGCAGCATCAAATCTGGCCCTCACTACAGTCCTACAGGACATGGCTCATTAACCCACCTGAGAGGTAAGCCGAGGGAGACACCCTCATGGTCCATCTCCCATCACTCCCACAGCAATCCTGCAGGGAGGGGGTCATTAGTTCTACTGGGGGCTTGGAGGCTTTTCCTCGCTCACGTGGGACTCCAACCTGAGCTCAGCCTATGTTCAGGACTCCACTGGGGCGGTGGCCAAGAAGGCCAGACTGTAGTGACTGGATAGTCCAGTCCAAGGAAAGGCCCTGGCTTTGAGCTCAGGCTCTGGGGCTGCCCAGCTCTGCCCAGGGCTCACTTCCTAAAGACCAGGATTACTGGGGCTAATCGCTCAGGTCTGGGCCAAACAGACCCAGGTTCAAGTCCTGCCACAGGACTCACCGGCTGCTCCCCCACCAGCTTATGGGCTCCAGGGATCAGAGGGGCTGTTAGATGCAGAGTTCAAGTCTTGATTCCAACACTGAGCAGCCGTGCCCTGGGAAAGCCACCTAAGCTCTTGAGCCTCAGTGTCCACATCTGTGAAATGGGGTGATAACAGTGCCTGTCATCAGCTGCTTGTGAGGGGCCAGTAACCATGGGTGGGTGTAGCAGAGCATTCAGCACAGCAAGTGCCCCACCAGTGGCAGACCAGATACTTATATCCACCTCGTGGTTCCCGGGAAGCCCTGAGAATGTCTCCAGTGGGAGGAGCCCTTGGGTGATGAATGAATCCCCCTGCTCACTGCGTGATCCTCCCTAAGCTTTTGATTCCTTATCTATAAAACAGGGCTGGTGACACACATTTCACAGGGCTGTGCTGAGGATAAACCTGAGACCCTGAGAGCCCCACCCCAGTGACTGGCAGCAGACAGGGCCCAGGGGATACGGTACGGTCACCCACCTTCCCACCGAGCTTGCCCCTGTCACTGCTGCAGAGGGATTTCCTGTCCCTGAGTCTCCAAGGGGAACCTGAGAGGGGACTTCTCCTCTATGCAAGATTAGAAGGCATTTGGTGTATTGGATGACTGGTAATCCCATGAGCAGATATTTGTCACGTGCAGGTGATAAGCAAAGCAGTTTACATGGCAACTATCCCACTGAATCTTGCCACAGCCCCAACATGGCAGAGACATGATGCCCCTACTTTGCAAATGAGCAGGTCAGAGGTGCACAGTGACCGACCCAAGGCCCCACGGGTGGCAAACAGTGAGGCCCAATCAGAACCTGGCCACCAGCCCCATTGACAGCCGGCTCTCTCAGCCACCCACCCTCCCTGCAGAAATAACAGTGATGAATGACCAGAGGTGGCAGCCCCAACTGGAAGGCTGACAGGACAGAGTCCTGTGCTTTCTTTCCAGGAGAACCAGCTCCTCAGCGGAAAGGGGGCTCCACATCTGGCTGCTGCCCCCGACTGACTTTCCAGTACAGATCTGCCCAGGACACCATCTCCCACTGTTTGATCTTTTGAGCTGAGTAAGCCCCAGGACAGGAGGTAAGATTGGCGTTTGCTAAAATTCCTGCAAGACGGGGGTCAGGGAGAGGCCAGCCAGGTTGGAAGAGGGGCGGGGTAGGGAGTCAGCATGAGAGGTGGAGGATGCCTATCCAGTCCCTCCTGTGCTGGCTGCCCCTTGCTCTTGGCAACTCAATATCCCTGTTCGCCTCCCCCTCACACTGTTACAGCTGCAACAGAAAAACAGATCTGCTTGCACTGTGAATATGACAGAGGGGAGATGATCACTGCTTGGGGGCCATAAAGGGTTCCCTCACCTAATGGGAAGGGGTTGGTAGAAACAAAGGGTACAAGCTTTGGGCTATATTTTGGGATCGGGTCACCTGACCTTTCTGGGGTCAGTTTTCTCATCTGTAAAATGGGATAATAGGTCATGCCTTAGAAGAAAGTGTGATAATAACACATGTAGAAATCCCATTGCTGGGCAAGCCTACAGCTACACCCAGTAAGTCCCAGCTGCTACTTTATTTATGTTGTTGTTAAAATAACAATCATCTGGTCCAAGCCCTCTAATTGTACAGAGAGGGAAACTGAGGCCCAGAGACAGCAGACCTCAAAATTGTGAGCAGGGGAGCCTGAAGGAGATCCTGGGTCTCCTGAGTCTGCAGTCCAACCTCGGTGAGCCTCAGCCCCACTGAGATCTTCAGGGAGTCCTCAGAGGAGCCAGATAATCCCCACTTTCAAGGGGTAATTTTTTTTCCATGTGACTAAATTTTCTTTTGTGTTTTCTGTTTTTAAGTTCTGGGGTACATGTGAAGTTCGTGCAGGCTTGTTACATAAGTACACACATGCCATGGTGGTTTGCGGCATCCATCCCCCGTCACCACCATTAGGTATTTCTCCTAATGTTATCCCTCCTCAATCCCCCCACTCCTCAAGGGGTAATTTTCTAAGAGAGGAAACACTCATAGTCTCTGGCATCAGATCCAGAGTCTGCCAGTCCCCTCAAGGGCTCCCTGTAAGGGAGAGGGGTCTGGGAGACAGCCCAGAGCCCAACAGGGCCTTTGCAGAGACCTAGATACCCATTTAGCACCTGTGCCTGCTGGGAATGATGCCAGACAGTAAGTCTGTCAATGCTGTGCTCAGATTCAGCCCTGCTGCTGACACGCTGTGGGCTCGGGCAAGTTCTTTGCTCTCTGAGCCTTAGTTTTCTCATCCGCGAAGCGGGATTACAATATCTACTGTACGGAGGGCTGTGAGGAATAAATGTAGTCATTTATATGGGGTGCCTGGCACACAGTAGGAGCTCTAGTGCTCTTCCCCTCAGCCCTGACTAGCCTGGTAACCTGGATGACCTCTGAGGGATAATCCTCTGAGGGAACTGGCCTCAAGGCTTCCACCCTCCTCCCTGGCACAGCAGCTGGGGTTCAAGCAGGTCACATCTTCTATGTGCACTCCTTACAGATCAACGCTGGCTTGCTCTGAGGGCCAGGCCAGGTGGCAGTGGGTGGGGGTGGGTGCAATAGTCATTCAGAGGAGATGCGGGGGTGGGTAAGGGTCACCAGAGAGAAGGAGACTCCGCCCCTCGCTGATTCTAGATGGTGGTGAGGAGATGGATGGTGATTATTTGGTAAGGAATATTATATCAGGCACCTACTGCGTGTCAGACATTTAAGCACGTTACACGTGTTAAAGCATTTACTCTTCCCAACAACTCTAAAAAGTTGGTATCAATATCATCCCCATTTTGTAGTGAGAAAACTGAGACACAGAAAGCTTAAGCAACTCACCCAAGGTCACACGGTTGGTAAGTTACAATGTTAGAATTCAGATCCATAGCTCTAGAGCCTACATTTCTAGCCACAAAGCTATAATGACAGTGAAATAATGGGCATCAATGACAACAGCAGCCAACCATTATCAACTGTTGACAGAGTGCCCGGATGTTTAAGCACTTTATACTATCTCAGTTAATTTTCACTGTGTTCCTGTGAAGAAGGTAATATTTCCCCCTATTTTGCAGATGGGAAACTGAGACTCAGAGAGGAGGAATGATATGGCTTGGCTCTGTCCCCACCCTAATCTCATCTTCAATTGTAGTTCCCATAATCCCCATGTGTTGTGGGAGGGACCTGGTGGGAGGTAATTGACTCATGGGGGCAGTTACTCTGATGCTATTCTCATGAAAGTGAGTGAGTTCTCACAAGATCTGAGGGTTTTATAAGGAGCTTTTCCCCGGTTTGCTCAGCACTTCTCCTTCCTGCCGCCATGTGCAGAAGGACATGTTTGCTTCCCCTTCTGCCATGACTGTAAGTTTCCTAAGGCCTCCTCAGCCCTGTGGAACTGTGAGCCAATTAAACATCTTTCCTGTATAAATTTCCCAATCTCAGGTAGTTCTTTATAGCAGCATAAGAATGGACTAATACATGGAGTAACTGGCCCAATGGCTCAGTGATGGAACTGGGATTTGAACATAGCTCTGTCCAAAGCCTGTGCTTTTAATATCTTTAGAAGGCACAGGATGGAGTCAGGAGCCCTTCTCTGCTCCTCACTCAATGTGTGACCTTGGGCAAGCTGCTCACCTGTCTGATCCCTGCCAGCCCTCAGAGTATATTCCACTCCTTCCAATTTCCATGCCCTTCCCCTTTGTATATGCCTTTTGGAGCCTCCTCCCTCCTTTACGCCCACCTATAGCCCACATGCCCCTTGAAACTACCCATCCAAACCAACTCCCCGGATACTTCTCCCTACCCCCAGCCCAGGAAACCACCTACCCAAAGTCACCACTTGTGGCTCCTCAAGTCTTGTGGGGTGTCCAGCCTCCCTTCTGGTAATCAGAGCAGACATTGTGATTTCATCTCCAGGTCTCCCTTTTTCTCTCTTGTCCTCCCCACTTTCACGTCCTATATGAACAATTACCAAGCCTATTCTTCCCTCTAACAGAACACAGATCAGAAGCATAGGCTCTGGAGAGGAGCAGACTCAGTCTTGGGAATATCAGCTCTACCACTTGCTGTGTGATCTTAGACTAGTTTCTTTACCTCTCTGAGCCTTAATATCCCTGCAAATTGTGGATAACAATAGTACCTACCTTACAGAGTGCCTATAAGACTTAAATATCATTATGTATAAAGTGCCTGAGCAGTAGACATTCTCAGCCTATGATAGCTGGTAGTACTGTTATTCTCTGCCACTCCTCCACATTTCAGCTGCCCCACCCTAGTTCAGGCTCCCATTTTATCTCTGTCCTTGCTTAATGAAATGACCTCCTCCTCCTCCCCTGGTCCCTGCTGAGATTCCCCCCTCATTCTTATCCATTTGCACAGTTGTAGCCACTGACTCCAACCTTTCTCAGCTCCAAGACTTTCTTCCCCAGCCTCTGCCAGGGGCTCTGACTGGAAGGACTTAGCCTGGCATTCAAGGTTCTTCCCCTTTGCCCCATCAACCACAACCTGCCCGTGCAGCCACGACTCCCAAACTTCTCTTCCGAAGGGTGGCCAAGGCAATCCAAGCTCCCCCATGATCCCAGGATCCCTGGCAGAGGTTTACCTGTGGCAGCCCTTTGCTCAGACTGTTTCCTAGGCTGAGACTATCCTTGCATTTATCTTCACATCTCCATATCCCAGTGAAACTTCCAGACCTAGCTGGAGTGCCTCCTCCTGCAAGAAGTATGCTCTGATTTCCCACCTAACTCCTGGCCCTGCTGCATTCTCACTGGTTAAGATTTCTCCTTCTATTTCCTCATCCTGACTTCCAGAACAGTTCCCTGAACTTTCCTTGTCTACAGCACATACCACAGTGTATTCAAATGTTCAGTGTATACATATTGTATATTCTCTGCTTTGAAAATATGCTGAAGTGAAGATGGAAATCTTTGCTACTCCTTCAGTCAAGAAGTGGGCACTAGGTCCCCTCCCACTGAATGTGAGCTCGTCTGTGACTGCTTTGACCAACTGAGTATGGTAGAGGTGACATTAAGCCAGGTCTGAGTCTAGACTTCAAGGGGTCTGGCAGCTTCTGCCTTGGCCTTGTTAGTAATCCCAGCTACTGAGGAGGCTGAGGCAGGAGAATTGCCTGAACCCAGGAGGCGGAGGTTGCAGTGAGCCGAGATCGCGCCATTGCACTCCAGCCTGGGTATCAAGAGAGAAACTCCGTCTCAAAAAAAAAAAAAAAAAAAATCACACTGGACTTAAAAATCACACAGTCTACGGTGGGCATGATGGCTCATGCTTATAATCCCAATGCTTTGGGAGGCCAGTGAGAGAGGATTGCTTGAGGCCAAGAGTTTGAGACCAGCCTGGGCGGCATAACAAGGCCCCATGTTTACCAAAAAATTTAAAATTATCCAGGCATGGTGGTATGTGCCTGTACTCCCAGCTATTCAGGAGGCTGAGATGGGAGGATTCCTTGAGCTCAGGCATTCAAGGTTTCAGTGAGCAATGATCATGCCACTGCACTCCAAGCTGGGCAACAGAGCAACACCCGGTCTCTGATTTTTTTTTTTTATCTCACAATTTATAAATTTGGAAAGGAGACTTTATTTCTTATAAATGATTACAGCCTGCAAGGTGGTCATTTCAGAAGCTAAGAAGCATCACCTCCAACCAAAGCCATTACCAGTCCTTCCAAAGGGGAGCAGGATGAGACAGAAAATTAAGCTGAATAGGTTGGCCAAACATACATATTCAACAGTTTATGGGAGGAGCTGCGAATATTCATAAAGGTAGTCACAAAGGCATTTAAATGTGCAGTCTCTGTAAACCGGCCATGGTAGGTAGTCTTCTTATCAGGAGAAAGTTACTGAAATCAGTCTCTTGTCCAATCAAAGCTGTAGTTATGGTTTGAGGAACTGGGAGTCAGTTAGTTGGTCTCTGGTGGTGGGTGAGCCATAACTGCTCTAACATTGCTTACCTGAAGGTCAGTGCTTGTTTGGCTGATAGAGAAAAAGGAAAACCTGTGACAATTCGAACATAGATTATTCTGTAAGTGTAGGGGTGTGGGACTTAACCCTTGCCTGGCATGGCCTTAGGTCCTGTTTGTAATTTGGTATCTTACTGCCACGAAGAATCCATTCTGTCGGTCTTAATCCATTCTGTGACTTTTAAGTCCAGTGTGATTTTTAAATTAACAAGACCAAGGCAGAAGCTGCCAGACCCCTTGAAGTCTAGACTCAGACCTGGCTTAATGTCACCTCTACCATACTCAGTTGGTCAAAGCAGTCACAGACGAGCTCACATTCAGTGGGAGGGGACCTAGTGCCCACTTCTTGACTGAAGGAGTAGCAAAGATTTTCATGTTCACTTCAGCATACTTTGTCTGTGCGGGGACAGCCTGTGAGTCTGGACTTGTCCATCTCTTCATTGCACTCCCTACGCCATGCACTGGGCTTCTGGTTCTACAGCAATGAACTCGCTTAGTCTTTACAACAGTGTTATTTTATTAATTAGGAAACTGAGGTCAGAGAGGTTCAGTGACTTGCCCAAGGTCACACAGGACATGGAAGAAGCGAGCTCCTGCTCTGATTCTCTGGCTTGGATTCCAGTGTTTTTCCTGCTGCCCCAGATGAGGTGACTCAGGGCCCCTCCTTGGATTTGTAACATGTTTCTTCCTTCCTGATGCCCAACTGAGAGCTGCCTGCCTGCCCAGAAGCTAATTCCTCCTTCCTTGGAACTCAAGGCCCTCCTGTCTGAGTCTCCCAGATGTCCATGTTGGTACCAACAGCAACTACGGAGTGGGAGGAGCAAGTGGGTAAGAGAGGGAGAGAAATTCCATCGATGCACTGAGACACGGAGAAGAGACGTCAAGAAAGCCTTTATTCACACACAGACAAGGCGCGCACCCTGCACACACACTCACACAGAAGGAAAGAGAAACACACACAGTGCGAGATGGGGGCATGGAGATGAGATCATTCCTAGGAAGAGGAAGGAGAGGGGAAAGGAAGAGAAAAAACAGATTCACACTAGAAAGTAAAAACACAGAACAAGAAATACCCAGCAGGAGATAAAGATAAAAAATATCAAAGTACACGAAGATACAAAGACAGTTACAGACAAATCCACGAAGAGAGAGCTGTCATGAGAGGATATAAATGAGAAAGAGGCACAGTCTCAGAGAGAGAAGGGGACGCTCACAGGGCACACTCACAGGCAGAGGCGGAGGGAGAGACAGGAGAGGGAAACATGTCACAACAGACACAGGCAGAGGGATGGAGGAACAAGCCGGGGAAGATGGAAAAGGCCACAGTGAGACCAAAGGGGAGAGAATAATAAGCAGAGAGAAAGAGTGATGGGGAGAGGGAGCGGAGGAGCCGCAGATGCCCGAGCGCTGGAGCTGAGCTCACACCTTCGCCTCCTCCCTTCCCCTCCCGCTCCGTCCACCACCGCCTGATTCCGCTCACAGCAGCCTGAAATGGAAGCCCCGAGTGGAGAAGTTAATTCTCCCAAGTCCAACCGCCAAGACGCGCTCTGCATTCCGCCCGCGTGCCCTTAGCGACACAGAGGCGGAGGCGGGGGGGGGGGGGTGCACCTGCACCTAGTACGGGTTTCTTCTCCAGAAGGAGAGAGACCTGCCCAGCATGTGGTCACCAAGCCCACGCCCAGAGCCGCATGGTTATACCTGCTAATTTCTAAGCCACGGGCAGCTGGAGGTGGGCACAACCCACAGCCCCTCAACAAGCACCCACAGGATGCCCATCAGGGACAAGATGCGGCCCCTGCACTGAGGACTCCCTCCCCACATGGGAGGCAAATAGTCTTAGGTCCAAATGTCCCTTACTGATCCCCACCTGTGATGACTCACCTGACCTCCCGAAGCCTCCACAACCACCTCTGTGAAACCGGATCGTCACGTCTACCTCATAGGTTGCTGGGAAAATCAAAAGCGGATACTGGTGAAGCATGTTACACAAATTTTGGCATATAGTAGTCGTTCAATAAACATTGGCTTTCTCTAATTGGGAAAGTCTGGGAAAATATGGAGATAATGGTGCAAAGTGAAGGGTAGCCCCAAGACTATTTGGTCCTTCTAGTTGAGTCACGGGAGACTTTGGTGGCTTTTGAACCAGGCCTTAGAATGTGGGAATATTTAAAAGTGAGTGATGGAGATGGGAAAGGCGGGGAGCTCTCTTGGCAGACTAAATGGCACGAGCAAAGGTGGGGCGGCAGGTGTCTCCAGAGTAGAGACCTGCCCGGTTCAGTTGGAGTAGAAGATGTGTGACGGATGATCTAGTACAATATTCTCCTTTCACGGATGGGGAAACTGAGGCCTAGAAATGTTAAGTGACTTGTTCAAACCCACATGTCTAGCAAGTGTCTGATCCAGCTCTTGAATCCAGAACTCAGTGACTCAGGGACTCTCCCCTTTGCCAAGCTGGAGGTCGGCCCCTTGCAGGTGAAAGCAGAGACCCAGACTGAAGGCATCCTGGGTCTTCAGAAGTTTGGTATTTGCCTAACAGCCCAAGTCCCAGAAACTAAGCCTCAGGCAGGAAAGTAGGTGGCAGTTCCTGACTTCCAGTGTCAATGGCTGCCAAGCCTAAGCTTTGACAGTAGATACTACTGGGGTGGGGCAAGGGAACCCCATCAGGCCTGGGGGCTCAAAGGTGGGGCTCCGCCTCTGACTAGAAATCCGGCATTAGACATGTGTGAAGTCCTGGAAAATGTCCCATGAGCCTCTGGGAGTTTTCTGGCCTCTGGTAAGAGTTGGGGTTATTAATCTGTAATTTACAAATGAAAGGGTAAGATTCAGAGAGACCAAAACCCCTGAAATTTAATCAAATTTAATATTACAAATACATATATATAATTCCTAATTACATAACTCTAATTATATTCCCATATACCTTCTAAGGAGGGTAGATGCTGATAAATGAGGCCCTTCATTCTCCCAGCCACTTGGATGGGTTTGGATGCACACTAGCGGAGGAGCATAGAGCTGGAGCTCCCAAAGGCCGCCTATGAAGGCAAGCAGGGGCAAAGAGCAGTGACAGGGGGCCATCATTATAATTCACGTCACAGAGTGTGAATCAGCAGTGACTTGAGTCAGTAATTCCTAGATCTGGGCCAGGTGTGGTGGCTCACACCTGTCTGTAATTACAGCACTTTAGGAGGCTAAGGTGGGAGGATTGTTTGAGCCCAGGAGTTTGAGACCAGTCTGGGCAACATAGTGAGAACCCGTCTCTACAAAAATGTTTAACAAAAAAAAATGAGCCAGGTGTAGTTGTGTGCACCTGTGGCCCCAGTTACTCAAGAGGCTAAGGTGGGAGGATCACTTAACCCTGGAAGGTCGAGGCTGCAGTAAACTGTGATCATGCCACTGCACTTCAGCCTGGGTGACAGGGCAAGACCCCATCTAAAAAATAATAATAATATTAATAATTCCTGGATCTGAGGTAGAAAAAGAAACCCCAAGAAGGTAGCCTAAATTTTTTTTTTTTTTTGAGATGGAGTCTTGCTCTCATCGCCCAGGCTGGAGTGCAATGGAGCAATCTCAGCTCACTGTGGCTTCTGCCTCCCAGGCTCAAGCAATTCTCCTGCCTCAACCTCTTACTAGCTGGAATTAAAGGCGTTCTAAGAGAGATCAGTATTAATCAGGATAGGCTAGAGTCACACTTTAGTAACAAACAGTCCCAAATCTCACTGACTAGGAGTTTATCTCTATCTCTTTATCACTCATGAACTGCACGGCAAATCAGGTGATTCTCCAAGGCTGCTGTCTTCCATGTGTTAACCCAGTGATCCAGGTTGCTTTGATCTTATGTCTCAACCATGTCAACATGCTGCCTCCATGTTCTCCAACAAAGAATAAGAGAAAGCTGGAAGGTCCTGCAGGGGCTTTTCACTGCTTTGGCTCAGAAGTTTCACATGTCAAGTCTACTCACTGTCCATTGGCCAGAACTAGTCATAGCGTCTGCCTAACTGCAGAGGAAGCTGGAAAGCATAGAACTGTCATGTACCCAGGAAGGAGAGGAGAGCTGGATATTGATGAACACCGGATATGACTGGGACCTCCTGTCCTTAAAAAATAAGTTAGGAACACTAGGGTTAGAGCGGTGAGTCTCAAAGTCTGAGTTATAGACTACCTTAACACTATTCTGAAAGCTTTGAGGAAGGGCACATTTCCAGGCCACCAGCTTGGAGAGTTACATTCTGTGGTCCAGGAATCTGTATTTTTGACAAGTCTCACAGATGAATGTGCAGAACCTGTAAGCAGAAGGTCCTCTGGTCACGGGGCTAGGGGTTGCCTTAGAGAGCACCCTGGGTTCGAATCTTAAAAAAAAAACAACTTCCAGGCAGTCCAGGCACGGTGGTTCACGTCTGTAATCCCAGCACTTTTAGAGGCCAAGATGGGCAGATCACAAGGTCAGAAGTTCAAGACCAGCCTAACCAACATGGTGAAACCCCATCTCTACTAAAAATGCAAAAATTAACTGGGCATGGTGGCATGGGCCTATAATCCCAGCTACTCAGGAGGCTGAGGCAGGAGAATCACTTGAACTCCGGAGACAGAGGTGGCAGTGAGCCAAGATGACACCACTGCACTCCAGCCTGGGTGACAGAGAGAGACTCCATCTCAAAAAAAACTTCCAGGCTTCTGGTTCCAAAATGGCGGTGTCATAGCAAGCTAGCTTCACTCCTCCTCCAAAGAAAACCAGAAACAATTATACAGCACTGAGATTATCACCAGTAATATCCCAAAACTCTGTATAAAGAGAAGACAGTTCCCAGGGCCACGAGAAATGGAAAACTCTGAGCAGAGGCTAAGAAAATTGGACTTCCATATGCATAACACCCCTCCCCAATCTGTCCAGCACCAAGTGCCTGGAAAATTTCCCCACGACTCACATTTTCTATACCAGAAAAAGTGAGATTGAAGTAAACAACCAACTTCCCCACCATCTTTGGTTTCCTGGCAGAAGATGTGCCCCAGCCTCAATCCATGAGAAGTCTCAGGAATGCCTGAGGGAGCAATATCCCTGCAAACAGTTAAAGACAAAGTGATGAGACAAGACTACCATCCCCAATTCTGGAAACTCTGCTCTGTAACTCAGCCAAAGGAAATGCCAAATCAGAGTGGCTATCCAGCAGCACATGCTGTAGGAGGTTCATTCTGCAGGCTCCCTGGGCATGAACCCCTAGGCAGGCTTCGTGCAGTACTGGGGTATCCCCCTTTGGAATCTTTCCCCATTCAGTACAGGCAGCACTCTGTTTATTTAGAACCAAGGCAAACATGGGCTTAAGGTGCCATCTAGTGTCAAAAAGGAGGCTGCAACAGAATGGGGTAAAAAGTAAAGAAAATCAACAGATAAAGTACAAACTCTATGAGCAAGCATATCTAATAAACACCAAAACAAGCCAGCCAGAGAAGAGCAAGAAATAACTAGTCCTTCAATGAAAAGACATAGACATACATCCACAATAAACAAAAGCAAAACAGGAAACCATGACCTATTCAAACATGCAAAGCAAGGAACCAGTGACTGACCCTAATAAGATAGTGATATGTGAACTCTCTGACCAAGAATTCAAAATAGCAGTTTTTTTAAAACTCAGTGATCTCCAAGATAACACATAAAAGCAATTTCAAAATTTATCCAAGGAATTTAACCAAAAGATTGAAATTTTTAAAAATTGAACAGAAACCTTGGAACTGAGAAATACATGTGCTCAACTGAAAAATTCGTTAGATTCTCTCAACAGAAGAATGGATGAAGAAGAGCAGAAAAATCAGTGAACTTGAAGACACGGTTTGAAAATAATACATAGAGGAGAAAAAAACAAAAAAGGTTGAAAAAGAATGAAGATTACCTACAAGATATGGAAAATTACTTCGAAAGACCAAATCTAAGAATTATTGGTGTTTCAAGAGAGGGAGTTGATCAGGAGCAAGATGTATAATGCTTATTTAAAGAAATAATAAAAGAAAACTTTCCAAAACTTGAGAAATATATAAATATCCAGCTCCAGGAAAACCAGAGAACACCACATAGATTCAACCCAAATAAGACTACCTCAAGACATATAGTAACCAAACTCTCAAGATCAAGGACAAAGAGGGGATCCTAAAAGAAAAAATAAATAAATAACATATAAAAGAGCTCCAATTTGTCTGACAACAGACTTCTCAATGGAAATCATACAGGCCAGGAAGAAGTGGAGTGACATTTTCAAAGTTCTGAATGAAAAAAATAAACTGTCATCCAAGAATACAATATCCAGCAAAGTTACCCTTCAAATATGAAGGAGAGATAAAGACTCTTCCAGACAAACAAAAGCTGAAGGAATTCACCATCACCAGACCCATTTTACAAGAAATGCTAAAGGGAATTCATCAATCTGAAAGAAATAAAACTAACATTCAAATAGAAAACACTAGAAGTATAAAACCCAGTGGTGAAATTAAGTCCACAGAAACCCGAAATACTTTAATGCTGTAATTGTGGTGAAAATTAGTTACAAAACCCACTTGTAACTATAGGGTGAATCCCAAAAGATAAATCTATCAAAAACAATAATAGCTATGGCAACCTGTTGAGATATTAACAACATAAAAATATGTAAATTGGGACAACATCAAGTCAAAATTAGGGGGTGGAGTTGAAGTGTAGAGGTTTTTTCCCATTCTTTCTTTGTTTCTATTCTTTCCTTTGTGATCTAAGGTAAGTAGTCGTCTCTTCAAAATAACTTGTCGTATCTATTAGATGTTTTTATAAGCCTCACGGTAACCACAAGGCAAAAAAACTATAATAGATTCACAAGATATAAAAAGCAGTGAATTAAAACATACTACCAAAGAAAATAATTTCATCACAAAGTAAAACAACAAGAAAGGAAAAGATTTATAAAACAACCAGAAAAACAAGCAACAAGATGGCAGTAGTAAGTCCTTCCTTATCGATAAAAACACTGAATGTAAACAAATTCAGTTCTCTAATTAAAGGGCATTCAGTGGCTAAGTGGATAAAGAAAAAAGACCCAACTTTGTGCTGCCTTTAAAAAATCCACTTCAGACCAAGCATGGTGGCTCACACCTGTAATCCCAGCATTTTGGGAGGCCAAGGCGGGTGGATCCCCTGAGGTCAGGAGTTTGAGACCAGCCCAGCCAACATGGTGAAACCCCATCTCTACTAAAAATACAGAAAATTTAGCCAGGCATGGTGAAACACACCTGTAATTCAGCTACTGGGGAGGCTGAGGCAAGAGAATTGCTTAAACCAGGGAGATGGAGGTTGCAGTGAGCCAAGGTCATACCACTGCACTCCAGCCTAGGTGACAGAATGGGACTCTGTCTCAGAAAAAAAAAAAATTCACTTTACCTATAAGGACACACATAGACTACAAATGAAAGAGTGGGAAAAGATATTCCATGTCACTGGAAACCAAAAAAGAGCAGGATTAGCTATATTTATATTGGATAAAATAGACTACAAATCAAAGACTGTAAAAAGAGGCAAAGGGCTGGGTGTGGTGGCTCACACCTGTAATCCCAGCACTTTGGGAAGCTGAGGTGAGTGGATCATGAGGTCAGGAGTTCAAGACCAGCCTGGTCAAGACGGTGAAATCCTGTCTCTACTAAAAATACAAAACTTAGCTCGGCATGGTAGCAGGCACCTGTAATCCCAGCTACTCAGGAGGCTGAGGCAGGAGAATCACTTGAACCCAGGAGGCAGAGGTTGTAGGTTGCAGTGAGCAGAGATCATGCCACTGTACTCCAGCCTGGGTGACAGAACAAAGTAAAACAATAAGAAAGGAAAAGATTTATAAAAACATTTTATAAAAATATATATAAACCCTTTATTTTTTTTTCCATCTCAAAAAAAAAAAAGAGGTGAAGAAGGTTACTATAAAATGATAAAGGGGTCAATTCAGCAAGATGATATAATAATTATAATTATCTATACACCCTATACTAGAGCTCCCAAGTATATAAACATTGATATTTCCAAAAGGAGAGACAGATTGCAACACAATAATACTGGGAGACTTCAACGCCCCATTCTCAGTAATAGACAGATCATCCAGATAAAAAATCAACAAAGAAACACTGGAGTTAAACTACACAGTAGACCAAATAGACCTAACTGAACTTTACAGAACATCTCACCCAATTTCTGCAGAATACATATTCTCATCATCACATGGAACATTTTCCAGAACAGATTATATGTTAGGCCACAAAACAAATCTCAACAAATTTTTAAAAATTAAAATTATATCAAGTATTATTTCTGAGCACAATCGAATAAAACTAGGTATCAATAACAAGAAGAATCTTGGAAAAGGCACAAACACATGAAAATTAAACAACATGCTCTTGAACAACCCATGGTTCAATGAAGAAATTAGGAAGACAATTTTTAAATTTCTTGAAGAAAATGAAAATGGAAATATAACATACCAAAATTATTGGATACAGCAAAAGCAGCACTAAGAGAGAAGATTATAGCAATAAACACTTATATTTAAAAAACAGAAATAACTTGTGATGGTTAATACTGAGTGTCAACTTGATTGGATTGAAGGATAGAAAGTATTGATCCTGGGTGTGTCTGTGAGGGTGTTGCCAAAGGAGATTAACATTTGAGTCAGTGGGATGGGAAAGGCAGAGTCACCCTTAATCTGGATGGGCACCATCTAATCAGCTCCCAGTGTGGCTAGAATCTAAGCAAGCAGAAAAATGTGAATACAGACACTGGCCTAGCGTCCCAGCCTACATCTTTCTCCCTTGTTGGATGCTTCCTGCCCTCGAACATCGGACTCCAAGTTCTTCAGTTTTGGAACTTGGACTGGCTCTCCTTGCTCCTTAGCCTGCAGGTGGCCTATTAAGGGATTTTGTGATCCTGTGAATTAATACTTAATAAACTCCCCTTTATATATATATCTATTCTATTAGTTATATCCCTCTAGAGAACCCTGGCTAATATACAACCTAATGATGTATCTCAAGGAACTAGAAAAGCAAGAACAAACCAAACCCTAAATTAGTAGAAGGAATAAATAGTAAAGATAGAGTAGAAATAGATGAAACTGAAACTTAAAAAAAAAAAATACAGAAGATCAACAAAACACAAAGTTGGGGTTTTGTTAAAAAGATAAAAAATGGACAAGCTTTAGCTAGAATAACTAAGAAAAAAGATAAAAGACCCATATAAATAAAATCAGAACTGTACAAGGAAACATAACAACTGATACCACAGAAATACAAAGAATCATTTGTAACAGTACAGAGACTGCTACAAACAACCACATGCCAATAAATTGGAAAACGTGTAGAAGAAACAGATAAATTCCAGGACATATACACCCTACCAATATGGAACCAGGAAGAAATAGAGAACCTGAACAAACTAATAATGAGTAACAAGATCAAAACCATAAGCCTCCCATCAAAAAAAAACCATAATTTGATGGCTTCACTGCTTGCTGAATTTTACCAAACAGTTAAAGGAGAGCTAATACTAATTCTACTCAAACTCTTCAAAAAATTGAAGAGGAAGGAATACTTACAAACTCATTCTACGTGTCCAACATTACCCTGATACCAACACCAGACAAAGACACAAGAAAAGAAAACTACAGGCCAATATCACAGTTGAATGGAGATGTAAAAATCCTCAACAAAGTACCAGCAAGCTGATCACTCACGATGTGAATATGAAAAAGATCATTCAGCATGATCAAGTGGGATTCATCCCATAGATGCAATGATGGTTCAACATACCCAAATCAATAAATGTAATACATCACATGAATAGAATCAAGAACAAAAACCACATGATCGTTCAGTAGATACTGAAAAAAAAAAAAAAAAACAAAGAAATAAAGGGCATTCAAATTGGAAAGAAGTCAAATTCACCTTTTCACAGATAGCATGGCTTATCCCTAGAAAAATCTAATGACTCCCCCTAAAACACTGTTAGAACTGATAAATTCAGTAAAGTTGCAGGATAAAGAATGAACATACAAAAATCAGTAGGATTTATATATGCCAACAGTGAGCAAGGTGAAAAAGAAACAAGAGAGTAATTCAATTTACAATAGCTACAAAGAATATAGGATAACCTAGGAATCAATTCAGCCAAAGAAGTGAAGGATCCATACAAGAAAAGCTATAAGACACTGGTGAAAGAAACTGAAGAGGACACCAAAAAATGGAAAGATATTGCACGCTCATGGATTGGAAAAATTAATATTGTTAAAATGACAATACTATCTAAAACAATTTGCAGATTCAGTGCAATCCCTATCAAAATACCAAGGATGTTCTTCACAAAAATAGAAAAAAAAATTCCAAAATTTGCATGGAACCACAAAAGATCCTGAATAGCTGAAGCAATCTTGAGCAAAAAGACCAAAACTGGAGACATCACACTGCCTGACTTCAAAATATACTACAAAGCTATTTTAACAAAATCAGCATGCTAATGGCATAAAAACAGGCACATAGACCAACAGAATAAAATTAAGAAGCCAGATGTAGATCCACACACTTATAGCCAACTCATTTTCAGCAAAGGTGCCAAGAACATTCAGTGGGGAAAGGAGTCTCTTCAATAAATGGTGGTGGGGAAAACGGGATAACCATATGCAGAAGGAGGAAGCTATATCCCTATTTCTCACAATTTCCAAAACTCAAATCAAAATGGATTGAAGACTTAAATCTAAGACCTAAAATGAGAACACTACCAGAAAGAAAACAGTATGAAAACACTCCAGGACGTTGACACTGAGCACGTTGTTCTGAGCAGACTTTCTTTGTGTAAGACCTCAAAAGCACAGGCAACCAAAGCAAAAATAGGCAAATGGATTGCATCAAGCTAAAAAGTTCAGCAAAGCAAAGAAAACAATTAACAAAATGAGGAGATAACCCACCGAATGAGAGAAAATATATGCAAACTATTCATTTGACAAGGGAATAATAACAATATATAAGGAGCTCAAACAACTCAATAGCTAAACAAATAACCTGATTTTAAAATGGGCAAAAAGTATTTTGCCCATTCTCCTTAAAAGAAGACATACAAATGGCCAGTAGGTATATGAAAAAATATTCAACATTAACTAATCTTTAGAGAAATGCACATCAAAACCACAATGAGATATCACCTTACACCTGATCAAATGACTATTATCAAAAAGACAGGCTTGAGACTATCCTAGCCAATGTGGTGAAACAACATTTCTGCTAAAAATACAGAAATTAGCTGGTCATGAGGGTGGACACCTGTAATCCCAGCTACTTAGGAGGCTGAGCAAGAGAATCTCCTGAACACAGGAGGCGGAAGTTGCAGTGAGCCGATATCACACCACTGCACTCCAGCCTGGGCAACAGAACAAGACTCTGTCTCAAAAAAAAAAAAAAAAAGCAGGGAATAACAGATGCTGGTGAGATGTGGAGAAAGGGGAACCCTCATACACTGCTGGTGGGAACATAAATTAGTACATTCACTGTGAGAAACTGTTTTTTCCTCAAAAAACTAAAAATAGAACTACCATACGATCCAGAAATTCCACTACTGGGTATGTGCGAAAGAAAAGAAATTAACATACTGAAGAGAATAAGCACTCCCATGTTTATTGCAGCACTATTCACAATAGCCAAAATATGACATCAGCCTACAAGCCCATCAATGGATGGATTAATAAAAATTTTTAAAAAGTGGTACATATACACAATGGAATAGTATTCAGCCATAAAAAAGGATGAAATCCTGTCATTTGCAACATGGATAGAACTGGAGGTCATTATGTTATGTGAAACAAGCCAAGCATACAAAGACAAATATCACATGTTCTCACTCATATGTGGGTGCTCACAAGGTGCACCTTATAAAAATATAAAATAGATTGGTGGGTACCAGAAGTTGGGAAGGAGGACAGGGATGAAGAAAAGTTGATTAATGGGTACAAAGATACAGTTTGATAGAAAAGGTAAGACCTGGCATTTGACAGATCAGCAGGGTGACAATAGTTTACAATAATCTATTGTATATTTCCAAATAGCTAAAAGAGCATAATTCAAACATTTTGAGCAGAGAAAAAGACAAAGGCAGAGGCAAATGCCTAACCCTGAATGCTCCAAACTGCATTTCCAGGAGATCTGATTACCTGATATTTTCCAGGGCAGTGGGGCTTTAAGATGCAGGATACCCAAATTACATCAAACAGCCCCATTATGGCCAATTCCCTCTTTGCTGCTGTTTAATTTCTCCTGGAGAATAAGATTGGAAATGCTGTGCTAATTTAATTTGCCAGAATGAATAAAGATAAGACAGTAACAGAGGATGATAAAGTGTGGGTAACACATAATTCACATCCCCGAAACCTAGCCTCCTTCCATCACAACTGCCTTCCCCATGCTGGAGCTGATTAAGTCAGAACGATGGCAGTTAATTATTTTCCCCTGTTGCTGGGGAAGTCTGGCTTCCCCAACCAGGCAGTGGTTGTAAAAGGGCAAATCAGATTAAAAAGAGGACCAGGGGCTTGTGGATCCCCTTGGGGATCACAGGTCTCCCTTATGGCGGAGGGAGGTGGCACTTAGACAACATGTTCGCTAGCTAAAGGTTCACCAATCAATCCTGGTCTCTGGAGTCCAGTACTCCTGGAAGACGCATATGGGTGTATGTAAAAGTGGGTTCATCATTAAGCCCTTCACTAGGCAGTCTTGCCAGGCTGGGTCCAGAACACAGAATCGTGTTCACAGGGATGGCATCACTGGGACCTAGGGAGGCATCCCCATGTGCAAAAAAAAAGGCTTTTCATCCATGCACACAGGGGTGTGTTCATCAGAGAGAAAAAGAGTAGTTTCGTGGTTCATATTGGGGTCCTCACTGGTGGAAGAGCACATGGGTATACTTGCACACTGGTTCAGCCCCGTACACAAGAATATGATACTAGAAGCACCTGTATTCAGACAGCCCTGAGGGTCCTGCCCTGCCGCTAACTCGCTGCATGACCTTGGTGAAATTGCTTCTCTAAGCCTCAGTGACTTTGTGGAGTAGGGATAGTCATAGCACCCGCTTTACAGAGCTCTGATGAGGAAGGAGTTTGAACACGTGCGCTGGAGTCCACATGCGTGTCAGGCCCCTTGAGATGTGGGAGGGACCCGAGGTAGGAAGAGAAGGGGGCGGACCAAGGAGGGGCCAAAGCCAGTTCTCCCTGCACCTCCACATCTAGGGTGGGAACTCAGGGGCCTGAGAACTTTAAACTCAAAACTGGCCTCCTAGGGAGTTATAAAGTTGCATTTGTTAAAGGAGGAGGGTAGGACATCCTTTATTCACCAGTTTGCTGATTTGATTTATCATTTTAAATATTTGGAAATGTGGGTGTCCATTTGTGCTCTTGCCCTGGGTCCCCCAAATGTCAAATATGGCCAAAATGTCCACTGTGTGCAGATATTGTGCTCAATCCAGAGGGCCAGAGCTGCAGGCAACATCAGGCACCTCCCCGTTACATGATTAGGAGTGGGGGAGTCAAGGTGGCCTTTCCAGTCTGGTCTGATTGAGAGGCAGAGAGCGAAGTGGAATCCTCACTTGCACAGCACTCCCACCTCCTGTGGCACCCACCAAGGTTCCTGTCCTGCCCAGGGGGGTAGTATTTGATGGCATTGTGTGAGAGGGGCACGCTCTGCCTAAGTGTGAGTTCACTGATATGCTCCAGAGAGAGCAGCGCCCTTTAAGGAGGCGAGGCTGGAGAAAGTGGTAATCATCCTTCCTACTTCCAGGTGAGGGCACCTCCAGCCTCTCTCAGACCAGGCCCCTTCAGGGTCAGCAGAACGTCAGGAGCATGGGCCAAGAGCAGACTGAGATGCTGTGTGGGAGAGCTTGGTCAGCGGGGAGAGATCTTTGTCACTCCTGCCCCCGTCCTCAGGAGTTTTAATCCCCAGCACAGGACTGGGCACAGAGAGAGCCCTTAAGGCACATGGTTGGTGAAGGGATAACAGCTTCGGGGCCAGGGTAGGGAGCTCCCCCAGGGCCCTTCATCCTGACTCCTTCCCCTCCCTCAGCCTTTGCCTTCGGCATGTGGGGCCTTCTCTCAGTCTCCCAGAATGCGCCAGGCTCCCGCCCACCGCAGGGCCTTTACACGTGCCCTTCTCTGCCTAGATTCCTCTCCTGGTCCCCGTGGCTTTTCCTTACCTCCCTGGAGCAAGTCAAGTCTCTGTATTATTGGGCCTCTTTCAAAGCATCAGAGCCCCCTCTTGCCTGGCACTCACTCCAGTTGTGATGAATGAATGATATAGGCAATCATTTCTTCAGTGCATCCCTCCTCCACGGGCTGCAAATTCACCAGGGAGTCTATGCCACCGATTTGGCTGCAGCCCTCCGAGGTCCCGGGGGAGATTCAAGAAAGATGGTGCCCAGCAGCTAAGGGGCGGGGAGGAGGGCCGTCAGAATGAGAGTCTCGGTGATGCCGACGGCCCCCCTCCCAGTCCCTCTCTCCTCTGATAAGAAGCAACCCTGGCACACCTGAGACTCTCCTCCAGTGGCCCGAGGCCTGCACACTTGGTAGCAACTAGGGAGCACTGGTGGAGTGATGGCTTTTTACTCATCCCATCCCCTTGAGCGCTGACATCTTAAAATTCATAGAATCACAGCATCTCAGGGCTGCAGGGACTTTCCTAGGCACTTGCTGGAACTGATTTATTATCCTGTGCATATTTCAACCATTTACGCATACACACATACACAAGAATGCTATCTTTCCCCACTCAGCTCCTTCCCTTCCCCTGCCTTCTAAATGAGAATATTGTCTTTGCAAGATGGTTTCCGATGTGTGTGTGCATGTGTGTGCATGATGCCACATCAGGAGAATGGGCAATGGAGAGGGGAAGAAATGAGGAACCAGAAAGAATAAGCTGATCTTTCCATATAATGAAGATGGGAGGAGGTGACGGACACAGGAGACAGAGAGAACAGCTCCGCAAGCTTGTCTGGGGAGCTGTGGGAGCTTCCGCTTGTGAAAGGGTCTGCAGTTCCTTGATGGTGAGGAATGGGCCCGTCAGCAAGTGTTCTGGGGGCATGAATTGTATCCCCTTTGTCTCTCTTCAAGAAATTGCAGTAAAACAGGAATTCCTTCTTGAAATGATTGTTGGTTAGTGACCACTTCTTTGGATGCAGCATTGAGTTGAGAATCCCAGTTAGAGTGGGCCCACCCCATCATGAAGGAAGCAGACATTTGAGCT